TTGCTTATTAATAAAAATTAAAATCATATACTCATACAACAAAAGAAAAAGACTTTTATTTATGCAAAAAAGAAAAAAAAATTTAATATATTTATGCGGAAAAGTTTTTAATATTTAATAAATTAGCTTTTCAAGCATATTTTCCAAACTACAAACGGTCTAAAACAGTAAACTATAGCCACTAGTGAACTTGATGATTGCAGAATTGAACTATAGCTATTAGCAAACAGCACAAAAAGCAGCAATATACATACAAACAAATAGCAAATATAATATTTCACAAAAAAAAAATTAAGAAACAATAGAAATATCGAAAAAAAACCATAAAATATTTAGCAAACGAAAAAATATTTAACAAAAAAATAAACAAAAAATAATATTCAATAAAAAGCAGGAATAAAAAAAAAATCACAAAAACTATTTTGGTAAAAAATAAACAGTTAAACAGCAACAAAAGAAACAATAAAATTAAATAACCGTTAAGCGTCTATGTTGCACTGCAAACAATTTTAACTGCGTTGCATTAAGCACACACACAGGCACGCGTTTTTTGCAAAAAAGTAATATTCGTTTAAAGTTTGCAGCATTTTACAAAAACAAAAGCAAAATATAACAATAATTATAAATAAACAGTTGAGCCAATGAAACTCGATACAGCGCCACAATAGAGTAAATATTTCCAGCAATAATTAAAGAAAGTAATCAAATAAACAACAACAACAAATGCAACACGGCAACCTACCCACAGTATTTACTTAATTGTAGAGGTAAAAATACACGCATATTCTATAAGTATATAAATTATTAAGTATATACACATACAGGTGCACACACACACACGCATATATTTGGTAGTCAGTATTTGAAATGAAAACAATATTTGCAATGGAAGAGAAATGCTTACAAATCAGATTGGCATGAAAACCAATACAACAACAAAAAGTGTATAAGATTTATACAGTATGCAGCATAATAGTAGAAACACTACTAAAATTCTGAAAATTATACACAAATTTTATTATTTGTTTATTGCCTTTTAACTTCCTTTTTTGGGTGAAATCTTTTTCCAACGAGCCACTTTTTGAGTCTGAAAAAGAGATAATTATAAATGGCGACCAAATCTGGCGAATGCGGTGGATGGGAGACTAGTCCATAGCGTATCTCCCTCCATATTTCGGTTGAATCAGAAGAGTGGATGAGCGAATGAGTTCAAAAACAATACGGCACCTATCATGGCAAAATCTTTTCACTTATAAAAATTGCTAAATAAAATTTTCTAGGGCTTCTTTTTGCATATTGAAGCCCCTTTGGGAACCGAACAGGTCAATTGAAAAGTCCCCGGCATACCATTGTAAAACACACAAAGGTGATACACTGATTACAATGAACATCCAACTTTTCGATATCATTTTTTACTCCTTTGCCTGAAAATGGGCCAAAGTTTCGGCGATCACCTCTTCATTCCTTCACTTTATTTTTGACATTGGACTTCGGAGTGAAGTGATGAAGTTTTATTTCACCCATTTTCACATATCGACGCAAAAATTCGGGTTTATTATGTTTGAAGATTTCCAAACACTGCACCAAATCATCAACTCGTCGTTGTTTTTGGTCAAAAGTGCTCTTATGCGGCACCCACTTTGCACAGAGCCCTTCTCGTACCCAAATATTCGTGAACTATCTGATGTACACGTTCAGTTGATATCTTTAGAATGCTTACTAGTTACCTCGAACAACTTCACTTTACGGTCATCCAAAATTATTTTGCGGACTTTTTAACAACTTCTTTTGGGTGTCCATTACGTTCACCGGCTTCGGTGTTCATTTCACCACATCTAAACTTAGCCTACTAATCTCTGATGATTGGTTTTTCTGGGACAGTATCCAGACACTCATCATCATGCCAAGTTTTAGCTTCAACTGCACTTTTCCACTTCAAAAAGCAATATTTTATCAACACGCGAAATTCCTTTTCAATTTACCTTTTATATAGCTCTGAAAACCCGTCCTGAAAAAGTTTCTTCCAGTGAAATATGTAGAAACAGCTCTGGGAACCATCAGACTGCATATGTAATCTATCCGCAATCCTTTTTTAAGAGCTGATTCTCCTTCGTTGTTCCTTTGGAAGCACTTGTTTTTATCCGAATGGATTTTAATCACTTTTTATGACCCTAAAAGTCTGCCAATGATTATAGATTCAACTTATGGAAAGTCTTGCTTAAAATGTAAATGTAACACATAAGTTGACGTTTCTCTGGATGAAAGCTTTATCTTTTCATACCTCAACTAATTCGGCGAAAACCAAGCAATGTTACGAGAACTTACTCTTATAAGAGTGAAACTAGTTCTATAATCGGACTTTCGTACCGAAGACGATTTTTCCCCGTCAGTGATATAGTAGTTTCTTTGAATCTCTGAAGTTAAATGCATTACTAATTTTTTACAACGGAAGTCCTTCATCTACCCACAAAACCATTAGCGTATATATCTCTCAGGCTTGGGTTCGTTCGAACTACATATATAAATACATATATACTTTTGGAAAACTTCAAGCATCGATCCAATCAATCTTGTCGCTGTCCGACCTTCTGCAGTAAATTTTTGTGAAAAATTAGATTTAAAACACAAAGTATGTACAACCTTTTTCTCAGAATTGCTCTCAAGGTTTTACAAGCTACACTTAAAACTTTCTGCATGAATTAATCAAGACAAAAGTTGAAGGCAGGGAAGCTGCCTTATATCCATACAATTGAACACAAGATAACTCAACTTAACAAAGACACTGAATTCGATTGTCTAAACAACTATGTATGAACTCATTTTCCTTTCACCCCCACCATAAGTTTATTAAATCAGCCATTAAATAAACTAATTAAGTCTTAATTATGCAAAAATCAGAAAAACTGAAAAACTGCTTGGAAAGCACTATTTATTAAATTATAAACAAAAAGCTAGAAATTATCGAATTTAATTAATATATAAAAATAATTGCAGACATTAGGGTGTGCATTAAGCAATTGATCGTCAGCGTACTTATTGGAATTTTGCATACATAAGTATGAATGAAATTAATTAACTGAAGAAATTTGAAACAAGGAATGCTTCAATTGTTTCGTTAAAACGCAGAGACCCTGTCGGAAATGGAGGGACTTTGTTGCAAATACAACAAACTACTAAACGCCAATGGCAGTTTCTAAGAATTGAGTTAGGAATTAAACATTTTACTATACGTTTAAGCAGTGTTAGTCAAAATTTCGATTAAACACTAATGAAAATGAACAAAAACGCCAAAATTAAATAACTAATTTAAGCAATTCACTATATAATAGTAGACTTATGTATATGTACAGTTATACTCATAAATTAAGTTAATGTTTAAGTAGTACTCTATAGTTGAGGTAATAAATTGGTATTTAAATAAGAGGTAGGGAAAATAAACCTTTTAC